GATTTTTCAACTATATATAATTAATGTGTTTGATTTTTTTGTTTTTTGTTTTTATTTTTTGGCAAAATGTTAGAACTTTCATTGATATATTAGAACCTTAACTAATGTGTTGGATTGAATGCCTTCATCATCATGTGAATTTAGCAGGTATTGACTAAAACAATTATATGAATAAACAGACTAGTTCATATATATATATATATATTAGGTTGGGTGTTTGGATTGCCTTGCTCAACTGACTTCTTCTTTCTTTGTCTGGAAAGGCTATCCACACTAATTGTAAATTATGCATAAAAAAGGCCATTAGGCTATTTGAATAGCCAGACTCAACTAATGTTTATGATGTTTTTTTTTTTTAAAAAAAAAAAAAAAATTGAAAAGTTGATAATTCGAAACTAAAAAATAAAAATACTATCTTTTTAGTTTCTAGATAATTATTTTTTTTTTAATTTATTTAAGTTGTTTTATCTCATAAGCTACAACCAAAACCTACAGCAAACACTTTAACACATGCTTCATGTTTTTTTTATTATAAAAAAAAAATTATAAACAGCTCAATAAGATACACCAAACAAGATTTACATGTAGAAAAAATCTTAGAAGAAACCCAATAACAATTCGAGCATGTGGGCCTCACATTACGAATTTAAATTTTCTGCTTAATTTGGAACTAAGTTGAAATCAACTTTCATTATTTTTAAAATTTTATTACCAACAATAAAATCGCAATAGGTTAATTTGAATTCCAATTTTATTATTAACAATAAGATTTATAATATTGGGATTTGCATTAGTTTTCTTTCATTTTTACCAACCAAACATACCATAACATAAAAGTTTTTCCACCTAAGAAAAACTGCTGATTCTACAACTCTAAGATTAAATAATGTGAATGAACCAGACTGGATAGGAGAAATAACATCTGCTTTAGCCCCGTTTGTTTTTGGGAGTAACAGTCCACTTTGCGCTGTGATGGATGAACAGTAAGCTTAGCTCTTTGTTTTATTTGTGGTCTTCCAGATTGATAGTCTGTTTGGATTAGGATAGGCTTTGGGCAAGCGGATTGGTAGTCTGGACAAAGAGGTGGTATTAGAAAATAATCTGCCAGCTTAGTAAGTTACTGGTCGTCCGCTGGGACATCCGGCCAGTTAACCGGTCAACTGCAATTTTTTTTTTTTTTTTTTTAAGAATTGCTTGATTAGTAACTTATCAATTTAATAATAAAAAAAAGAAATGTTTAATTTGTTTTATTATTTTATATTTATTTTATATAAAAATAATTTAACAATCTCAACACTACCAACTATAATCAAAACAAACACAATTTTACTAATCTCTCACTATCAGTCTCTTCCATTCTACCTCTGAAACCAAACGGAGTGTTAAAGAGTTGTATAGTTTGTTGACTGTTCTCCATCCACCTGTCTAATTTTGTTCACACATTTTTTTAGTATTAATACATGCATTTTGATTGGTCGAGAATAGTAAGACCTGTGGACTAATTCGGTGGTGCTACATGCACCAATTAATATACACATTAGTATACCAACTAGTGTTATGCCATTATTACTGACCCCACCTATTATGCAAATTGCAAATATCCAAAACCTCTAAAATTATGCAACATCATTGGTTAGTGTACTGGTTAGTATATTAATCGGTACATATAGCATTATTCGGACTAATTAGTATACTAATGAATGATGTGGCATAATTTTATTGGCTTTGAATCCTTGTAATTTGTATAATAAATAGGTCCATAGTTTTAAAATTGTAATGTTAATACATGTGTTAATACACTAATTAGTATAGTAATTGGTGTATGTAGCACTACTGGTCATTATGAATAAAGTTATATGCACTAATTAGTATATCAATTAGTATACTAATGGATGATGTGGCATAATGTTATTAGTTTTGAGTCTTTCTAACTTATATAATGGATGAGGTCTATAGTTTTGAAGTTATAATACTATAGCATGTGTTGGTACACTAATTATTAGTATAAGAATTGGTGTATGTAGCACCACTAACTCATTATACTTTTTAAATATAGGGTTCACAAATTTGGACCAATCATCTTTAGTATATTATTCATTTAAAAATATACAAACAAATTCATTATAATTTAACTTACTAACTCCCTAACATCCTATTGTATGGCCAAAAAAAAAAAAAAAAAATTCATTTTCCTCCCTCTATAATTAGTTTGTGTGTGATGCGCACTCTTTTCACTATCATACGTATATGATTTTTATTAAGTTATGACACTAATCACATCAAGAGTAATGTCTCAATAAATTATTAAAATTACAACACAACATGATTAAGTCGTAACCTTAAACACACTACCCTATAACTTCAAACACATTTGCAAAGTAATTGAGGGTGTGCATTGGAAATTTTGCCCTCTGTTGTTCATTTATTTGAGTTGCTGTGTAGTCTGCAAGTATTTTTTTCTAAGTCTTTTTAGAATTTCATGTCAATTATGTGTTACTTAATATTAGGGGTTAAATGATTATATAGTCTGATAAATAAGAAAAGGTAGAAAAATCACAAAATACCATTAAACAAATATATGACTACGTGGCATTTTCGGACTCATACGATAATTTCTCTTAGTGTGCTGGTGTTTGTGGTTGTCCTCATCACATAACTATTAAGGGAAATTACATCTCAATAAAAAAAATTACACAGACAAAGAATTGCACCTCCTATGTTTTACTAATTTTTTATATCCTGCATTGTTATTTTCTACAAAAACTCAGTCCACTTTTGGTGCCCAATTAAAGGTGTAAGTCGGTTATCAAATTCAACTTGCCTTTGTGGAAAGGGACTATAATTGGATTGAATACATAATAAATATTATACTTCCGTTTAGATCAGATTTAAAAATAAAAAGAAAAAGAAAAAAGAAAAAAATCTTATATTTTACAATATGCTGACTTGTTTTTGTTGGTTAGTCGAGAGACAAAGAATAATTCACTTTGTATCACATATTTGGATATGAATTTTGAAAGAAAGAAAAACTAATTAAAAATAATACACAAGAAATAGAGGGAAAAAAATAACTTGTATTTCATTCGTATTTTTTAAATTCCTATCCAAATTTATGATTCAAATACAACATTAATATGTGTCACAATCTCTTATTTATTAGAAATATCACATAATCGTTCGAAAGTACCTAGTATTTTTTTCTTTTCTTTTTTTGTATGTAGAAATAATTGGAAAATAATATTCTTAAAAAAATAAAAATAAATAAAAATAGAATGGATGGCCAAGTCATAATGGGTGGGCTTGGCTTTGATGCAGTAATAAAGAATTAAGAATGTATAATAAATAAAGAAAGCTCAAAAAAGTCTCTATGTTTGTTATTTCCTGAGACTATATGATTGTGTTAACAAAATTTTAATGTTAGAACCTAATAAGTTTTCAATTGTTCTTATCGGCCTTTGACAATTGTGTTATCACGTGCAATCACAATAAGGGTTCAGGGAAATGTTTAAAATATTTTCATAGTAATTAGTAGGGTAATTTTTTTTAAAAAAATTATATTAATCACATTTTTTGAGCATTTGATATCAAGTCTATCGTAAATAATTTTAAAAGAAATTACAAAAAAAAAAACCCTCAAAATTTGAGTCTTGTAACAAAATAAATCTTAATTTTTTAATTTTGTCAACTTAAGTCCTAATTTTTTGATTTGTTTTCAATTTAAACTATTTGTCTATTTTGTTAAGTAAAACAAATGAAAAAAAAAATAGTATTTTACTCATTAAACTGAATGAAAATGACATTTTAGACTTTGTTCATATATTTACATTGAATATAATGATTAAAATACTAATTTTTTTGGTCAATTTTGAGTAGGATAATTACACATTTTAGATATGAGACGCACGTTAAAAAAATATGTGAACAAATTCAGTTTTCTCCATCCATAATTATGCACGCACACTTTTCGCTATGGTACGATGTAATTTTTGTTATGATGCAATGTGGTTAAAGTTATCACAGTAATCACATCAAGAGTTGTCTTGGAATTATGACACAACGTGATTTAAGGCACAACTTTAACTTCCAACACATTGCAAGGTAATAGGCATTGGAAATTGACTAAAATATGGAGAGAGAAAAAAAATGGTACAAATAAAAGAAAACAAAAATATTTTGAAGCTCTAATAATTTAATAAAGGAGCTCTAATAGATCTAATAGGGTGTGGGTCCCATTTGTGATAGTGATGTTTGTGTCTTGTGTTTTTTTTTTTTTTGACTTTTCATGTCGTTAGAGCTCATTAGAGCTCATTGATTTAGAGGGATGTATCATTGTTGTAAAAGAAAATTGGAACAAAAACCTGCATGTGTGTTTTAGAGGAGTTTTTCTTTCGTCTTCAGCAAACTTTTTAAAAACCTGTAGGTGTGATTTAGTAATTTTTTAAATTTTTTTAAAAACATATAAATTAGATGTAACTAAAAAGTAGTAGTAGTAATAATAATAATAATAATAACAATAACTACAATATATAAATAAATAAATAAAATTACTAAAGACAAAAGAAAATGTCTAAAAATAGTTTTTAAATAATCAAACCAAACAAAGTCTTGTTTTTCTAAAAAACAAAAATGAAAACAAAAAAACAAAAACACAACAAAACAAGAACTTAGGCCTCGTTTGGGAACAGTTTTTTTTAGTAACTTTTTGACTTTTTAGTTAAAATATGATGTAAAAAAATTAATATGTCTGGAATGACATTTTGATTTTTTACGAAAAGATGTGCGAAAAAGTAGAGAGAATGGAATTTTTGACTTTTTGGTATAGGTTGCTAGCTTTTTGATTTTTTTAGTAATTTTTTGACTAAAATCAGTACTTGCCAAATGGGGCCTTACTCAAACTTAGGTGTTTTCCTGATCTTTTGGAATCCATCTTCAAATTGTTGAAATTTTTTTACATTGTATCAATACACCAAATCAACAAATCGACATGGAAGACTGAACTCTTACCAGGCTTCAAGAACTGAAACCGTCACGTCGTTCAACGAACATATTTCTGGGATTTTGCATGATGTCCAATCAGGCACACTTGTAATAGTTGAAAATGCAGGTTGTTTCGAAGAAGGTAAAAGCACAAGTTCATTGCTAAGCATTGATACAACACTAGACATGGTACGCCTATCAACTACACTTTCTTGAACACAAAGAAGTCCAATGTTTATGTACCTCAACAGCATACGTGTAGAAAGTATGTCTCCCAATATTGGGTCCTTCAGGTCCTGTCCCATGCCACTCTTCCACAAGTCCCATGCCTGAAGAATATTAGACAAAAAAGTATATCTCATTGTGAATCCTTCAAAGAAAAAAAAAAATGGAGAGGTAAAAAAAGGCATGATAAATGCAATAGTATTCTGGTGCTCACATATACAAGAAGATTGACGGAGTTAGTTAGATAAAAGTGTGTATTTTTTTTGCCACTCAAAATCTCTAACAACAAGACTCCAAAACTGAAGACATCAGATTTGATTGAGAAAAGACCATCGAAAGCATACTCAGGTGACATATAACCACTGGATTCATGTATTAAATTGAATCGTCTAGTAACCCTAAAAATATCAATGCATGCAACAACAACAACAACAACAACAACAAAAGCAAAAAAAGATGTTTTGGTGCAAAGGCACATAAATTATGTTTTACTCACTACGTGCCAACAATTCGATTGGTTGCTTGTGATCCATTTCCACTGAAAATTCTTGCCATCCCAAAATCAGAAATTTTTGGGTTCATATCTTTATCCAACAAAATGTTGCTAGTTTTCAAATCTCTATGGATGATTTGTAACCTTGAATACTGGTGAAGACAGAAAAACCCTTGAGCAATTACTTCAATGATGTTAACGCGTAACTCGCAATTTAGTATCCCATGTTTGATTGGATCTGTCTCAATTTCACATCAAATTAATAAATTAAATGGTAGTATGGATACAAACAGAAACAATCAAATATAGTCAAGAATGCCAAGGCACAAACCAAAAAGGAAGAAATCCAAGCTTTTGTTGGGCATATGCTCGTAGATTAAAATCTTTTCATCTCTTTCAATGCAGCAGCCCAGTAGTCTCACAAGATTCTTGTGTTGAAGTTTTACTATGAGCATAGCCTTATTCTGTAATTCCTCCAATCCTTGTCTAGATTTCCTTGAAAGCCTTTTCACGGCCACCTCATATCCTTTTAGTAACTTTCCCTGATATGGAACCTCATTAATTTTCTTTGTATTCTTTGGAAAACTAACATCAAATACTATTTGAAAGTAATATTTTAAGGTAAAACAAACTCTATGCACCAATTGGGACTCCACTACTTAGTAGTGTTCAACATCCCAAAAGCATCACAGTCAGTGATGTTGAATGTTACCTTGTAAACAGGTCCAAAACCAGCCTCTCCAAGCTTATTTGCATCAAAGAAGTTATCGGTAGCAGAAGATACACTAGTGAAACTGAACAACGGTAAAGCAACTTCCTTCTTCCCACCAATAAGATCCTTACTGGCTTCATTTAGTGTGCAGTTGGCAACTCCAATGCTTGTGCCAACATCGAATAACAGTAAATCCTTCCCTACTTGGTAAAAAATACAAGGGCTAATTTTTTTTTTTTTCGAATTATATTAGGGCATTTGAACCTATATAGAAGCACAATGACTAATTTTTAGTTACTCATAAAAATGCAGTCCCTTGAATTGGTTTAGTTTTATGTTCCAAGAGTGAAATTCACACCTTTGTTTTGTGGCATTGTCCTCCTCAACAAACAATAAAACAAGGTTGAAGTCAACAGTGTCATGGAAACTGCAAGTGCTAGAATAAACCATTCCACCTCTTCCTTCTTGAATCTGCAAAAAGAGTTCCAAAAACAATGTAATCAATTGTTGTCCCCATGCTACCAAAACAATTGCAACAATTCCATTATTCTTACCTTCACTAAGAAATGCAGAAGCAGAAAGTTTTAGATAGAAATCACTCCTATCAGGGTCATCATCTTTCAGCTGTTCAACGTTAAAGAGATCTTCACTCCATATTGAACACCCATCACTGCCATAAGCAAAAGCAGAGCAAAAGCAGATATTGAAAAGCACCTCTATCTTGCAAAACTATCGGATTGAAAGGGAGTCTTACTTTAGGTATCCAAATAAACTGGTCACTCTGTCCATTGGCTTGACTATCATTGCCACATTGTAAAGGCGCTTTCCTCACACACCCTCCTGACACGTCTCCTGCAATCCAATTTCGCACAGAACAGGGTTCAAAACCCGGCAAACATTGGCAAAATGGAAGGGCCTTTTGACTGCAAATGCTAAAAGCCCCACAGTAGGCATAAACATCGCACTGCTGGATTGGTTGAGACCAAATCAAACCCCATTTATGAGTAGTTTCAGACCACGACAGTAGCTAAAGTTTCCCTGATACATCCAACACAAACATACTCGTCACGGAAGCATCAATAACAGAGTAAGTGAAATTGCTCCACCACGGGCTAAAAACATGGGTGATGTGTATATTGCGAGCTCTCATATCAGGGATCATTAGGAAACTTTGTCCAGTCCATACCCCACTAGTCCAATCCTTTTGATATCCCTTCATGATGAAGAACTAGGGTGTGCCTTGAGGATCAAATTCCAAAGAGAAAACTCCAAGGCCAGGTGTTAGGACCCTACTTGTTGTCAAATTCCATGAACAAACTTGGACTTAAATTGAGTTGTAATTTTCCAGTTTTTGGTCTTCCCGCTCGAGCGGGCAAAGTGGCGCTCGAGAGGAGTTTACACTCTCACAGTATTTTGCGTGTCCGCACAAATATTGAGTGATGTGTTTTTACACTCGAGCATGGGATCTCCCGCTCGAGCGTGAACCCTGGTTTGAAACACGCCATATAGAGTCCCTGCTCGAGCGTCCATTCCCACGCTCGAGCGGACCTCGCAATCTCAACCTCTATAAAACCTCGTGTTGCTCCAATTCTAGGGTTACTTTTCCTAGATCTTCTTTAAGGGTTTTAGGGTTTTCTTTTGTGGATATTTTTCTGGTTTTCCTTGATGTTTGATTGAGTTTGAACTCATGTTCTTATAAGCACACATCAACGAGTTTGTTTGATCTTTCTTTGAGAGTATTCTTCTTCGATGGAATCTGAAGATTCAGGCACAGAGTAATCAAAGGAGTTTGATGCTATGTGTAGTCATTTATTCGACAATAAATGTTGTGGATTCAACATCAAGCTAATCAATTCCAAATGAAGGTTGCGGTGAAAGACATACAGAAGATTTGAAGACAAATTGGAAGCGGTTCTGGTAATTTTTTTGATATCTTTATAATCTTTCTTTATTCAGTAGTGGATTGATTTGTGGCATTTCGCTTGTGGTTTTTTTTATCACAATTGAAGGTACTTCAATTGTGATTTTTCCATGTAAAAAATCGTTTATGTCGATTAATTGCTTTCTGAAACAACAATCTAAATCACTTTCTTACGTGCTTGATGATTTAGATTGTGAGTTTTAATTGGTTGGAAATTGAAACAATTAAATCTTGATCTAATCACGAATCACTTAGGTTTTTCAATTGGTATCAAAGCGGGTCGCTCTTTGTTTTTATCAAAACTATAGAAGTGTGATTGGTGATATGGATTCAATTTGGGAAGGTAACTCGACCAATAGACCTCCGTTACTTGATGGTACAAACTATTCTTATTGGAAAGCTTGTATGAGGGCGTTTTTAAAATCTATCGATGAGAAAGTTTGGCACTGTGTGATCTATGGGTGGAGTGGACTTATTGTCACCATTGATGGTGTTGATATTCCCAAACCCCTTGATAAATGGGATGCATTTGATTATCAAAACTCGAGTTGGAACAGTAAAGCTCTTAATTCCCTTTTTTGCTCCTTCACACCTGAAGAGTTTCGTCGTATTTGCACGTGTAAGGTAGCTAAAGAGACTTGAGACATTCTTGAAACGATTCACGAGGGTACTACTTTTGTTAAAAGGTCAAAACTTCAACGTCTCACCTCTGTCTTTGAAACCCTTTTTATGCGTGATGATGAGACGTTTGATGATTTCTATGCTAAACTTAGTGACATCATGAATTCCTATTTCACACTCGATGAAAAAATCTCTGAAGCTAAGGTGGTTGGAAAAATTTTGAGGTCTTTACCCGAGAGGTTCCAATCAAAAGTGACAGCTATTAAGGAGGCTCAGAATGTTGATACCCTCAAGTTTGATCAGTTGGTTGGAAACTTGCAGACTTATGAAGCCCACCAGATTTCTAAGAAAAAACAAAAAGATAGTGTGGCTTTCACTAGTGCTCATGAGACTGTAAAAACTCCTGAGACTGAGTTTGATCTAGAGTCTGAGATGACGACTATGTTTACTAAATAGTTCAAAAAAAATTTAAAGAAAAAGAAGTCGAATTTTAGAGACCCTATTTCAAAAGACAAGAGTAATGATAATCCCAAAACTTTTCCACCAAAACTTGCTCCAAAAACTAAAAAGAAGATTGTAAAGGGGCAAGGGGTCAAGTGTTAGGAATGTCAAGGGTATGGACATATTGCTCTTGAATGTCCATTGAAAAACAATCGGAAGAAAGTCTATACAGTGACTTGGGATGATGAAAGTGGATCAGTGCAACAACCCGAAAAAACTCAATCCGCTGAAGACAGGGATAGTGCTTTCATGGCATTCTGGTTCACTTTCACTCAACCTCCTCTGAAACCAGTGGAATTTTCTCGTGGTCAAAATCTGCACCGTGCTCCTACCTTTGATAGGAGTAATTACTTGTACTGGAAAATCAGAATAAGAGCGTTTCTGAGAGTTTTCGACCCTGAAGGCTGGCAAGCCATTGAAGAGAATGTTGAAAGTACTGACAATCCGAGCAATTAGAGAGTTCTGATTACTATTCGTGAAGCAATTTCTGATAAAGAACTGCAACGGTTTGCTCACTGCACAAAGGCCAAAGATACATGGGACATTCTGAGTCAATTTCATGAAAGAGTAGAGTCATTTTCACCACCATCTATCACCTTTCATGCCTTAGTTGCTCGACTAGATGAGGTCCAGGAGAAAAAGGAGCAAAAAGAAAATGATGAAACATTAGAAGACAATGATGAGATTGATGGTGATGATCTACAATAAGCTTATGAAAAGGTTTACGATGAATCTCTGAATCTGTCCAAGATCAATGACAAACTCACTCTCAAGCTCAAAGCATGTGAGAGCGAGAATGTCAAGCTAAAAGGAGAAATTGCAACAGCAAAGCAGAATGTCATCAAGATCTCTAATGATAGGCAAGACCTATGTGGGAAACTTCTATCTTGTGAGACTGAAAGAAATGAACTTCTGAAAATATATGCCACATATGAAGAGAAGATTGAAAGCCTTGAGATGTCACAAGCTACATTGGAAGAGATGGTTTGCCATAAAGATAAAGAACTTAGAATTGCTAGAGCCACAATTGCCATGTGGAACAAAGGTTCCATGTCATTAGAAGACATCCTCGGGTCTCAACAAATGGGCTGTGACAAAAGTGGGCTAGGCTATGGTAATGCGATAGCCCATAAGGGACAAGCCTCTACATCTCATGACCTGAAGACTCAACAAAAGGGAAAGATGAAGGTGCACCAGGGTGATCCCTCTCTTCATCTGCCTAATAGGGGTAAGATCAACAAAAGGGAGGTAAAACCTGTTTTTGTTTGTCATCATTGTGGTAGATATGGCCACATTCATCCTTATTGCTTTGAATTATTTGGTAAGGTGTCTCAAAAGGGTAGAAATTCTAATACTTTTTGGGTTAAAAGACAACCTTATATGTCTAGGCGGAACACCGAGATACATGAGGGTATTCACAACGCTAAGACATTTACCAAGACGGCCAGTCCTGATTTTGTTAAAACCAAAAAGATATGGGTGAAAAAAGATGACTTGTCTTGTTTAGTTGTTCACACAGCTCTAAAAGCACGTGACTCACACATGTGGTACCTTGATAGTGGGTGCTCTCGTCACATGTCAGGTGACAAATCCTACTTCACCTCCCTTGAAAAATATGAAGGTGGAATTGTTACCTTTGGAGATGGTGTCACTTCTAGAGTCATTGGTAAGGGCTCTATAAGTATAGTTGGTCTTCCCAAGCTTGAAAATGCATTACTTGTTGATGGCCTTAAAGCAAATCTTTTGAGCATCAGTCAAACGTGTGATTCCCACCATGAAGTATTGTTTTCAAAAAATAAATATGAAATTTTGGATAAAAAGGGAAATACTGTCATGCATGGGGTTCGCACATCTGATAACTGCTACGGGATTGTTACCACTAATGATCTCACTTGCCACTCAGCCATCATAAGTAACATTGATTTGTGGCATCAAAGATTACGCCACATAAATTTCAAAGACCTAACTAAGATAACCAACAAAGAGCTTGTGAAAGACGTACCTAAACTGGGTAAGAATTTGAACCATGTGTGTGAACTATGTCAACTTGGAAAGCAAACCCGTGCCCCTCATAAAAAGGTGAACAACTTTACAACCAAACGTCCTCTTGAATTGGTTCATATGGATCTAATGGGAACTACTCGCACTGAAAGCATTGGAGGTAAAAGATACAATTTTTTAACTGTTGATGATTTTACTCGTTTTTCATGGGTAAATTTTTTAAAAGAAAAATCTAATACGTTTGATGCTTTCCAGGCCTTAGTCCTTAAAATCCAAAATGAACAGGGTGTTTCTATTAGGCGTATCATAAGAATCCGAACTGATCATGGTTGTGATTTTGAAAACAGTTCGTTTTCAAATTTTTGTGACATGCATAGAATTAAGCATGAATTTTCTGCTCCTATTACTCCACAACAAAATGGAGTTGTTGAGAGGAAAAACAGGGTTATTCAAGAGATGGCTAGGGTCATGCTCCTTAGTAAGAAAGTTCCTCCAAAGTTTTGAGCTGAAGCCCTAAATACTGTTGTTTATGTCATAAATCATGTGTATTTAAGGCCCGACATTTTACAAACTCCATATGAATTGTGGAAAGGATTGAAACCCAATGTAAACTACTTCAAAACTTTTGGGAGTAAGTGTTACATCTTCAAAGATAGAGAGCCCTTGGGCAAATTTGACTCCTGAAGTGATGAAGATATTTTTCTAGGGTATTCAACCACTAGTAGGGCTTTTCGTGTCTATAACCTGTGAACTTCATCTTTAATGGAATCGATCAATGTGGTTATAGATGACATAGGTTCTCCTACTTTAACAACAAATGAGGAAGAAAATGGTGAGTCTCCAATTCTGGATACTGTACCACAAAGTTAAAGAGAAGCTGAGGTCCAAGCACTAGAAGTTGAGAGAGCACCAACTTCTCAGGTAAGTCAGAGTCCAAAGAGTGCACAGAGAGACACCACTTCTGATGCTTCTGCCACCACAAGTCCTGAGTTCAAACCATCAGTAAGGGTGAAACTAAATCATCCAACTCAACAGGTGACTGGAAGTGTCTCAGATCGAATGAAAACCCGAAGACAAATTTGGGATGAGATATCTCATATGTGTTATGTTTCATTAATTGAACCTAGGAATATAAAAGAGGCCTTACAAGATGATAGTTGGGCCAATGCTATGCATGAAGAATTAGGTCAATTTGAACGTAACAATGTCTGGACTCTAGTTCTCAGACCTAGAGACATGAATGTAATAGGTACCAAGTGGATCTTTAAGAATAAATCTGATGAGAATGGTATTGTGGTTAGAAATAAAGCTAGGCTGGTTACTCAAGGCTACACACAAGTAGAAGGTGTTGACTATGATGAGACGTCCACAGTTGCACGTCTCGAATCTATTCGTATTTTACTTGGTGTTGCATGCTTTCTTGGTTTCAAACTGTTTCAAATGGATGTGAAAAGTGTCTTTCTGAATAGGTACTTGAAAGAAGAGGCTTATGTTGAGCAACCAAAAGGGTCTAAGGACCCTAAATGTCCAAACCATGTCTACAAGTTAGACAAGGCTTTGTATGGGTTGAAATAAGCCCCTCAGGCTTGATATGAAAGACTTACTACCTTTCTACTTGATAATGATTTTCAAAAGGGTAGTGTGGACAAGACTTTATTTGTGAAACATACTAAGTCTCATATTCTTGTTGCTCAAATTTATGTTGATGATATTGTGTTTGGATCCACTGCTGATCATCTTGTTAAATACTTTTCGGATTGAATGACACGTGAGTTTGAGATGAGCATGATGGGAGAATTGTCTTACTTCTTAGGTCTTCAAATTAAACAGTCTCCTTCGGGTATGTTTGTTTTTCAGACTAGTATGCCAAAAACCTTGTCTCTAAGTTCAGTCTTGAGTCGGTCAAACATGCTCGCACTCCCATGAGCACCAGTCTTCACCTTTCCAAAGATTCTTCTGGTAGATGTTGATCCTACCCTATATAAGAGTATGATAGGGAGTCTCTTGTACCTCACTGCCAGTCGTCCTGACACTGCATTTAGTGTAGGTGTTTGTGCCTGTTACCAAGCCTGTCCTAAAGAGTTTCGTCTGATTGCTGTCAAGCGTATCATTAAGTATGTGAATGGGACATTGGGGTATGGGATTTGGTTGTCGACCTACACTGCAGCCGAAATCACTGGTTTTTCTGATGCCGACTGGTGACAGGTGTGCTGATGATCGTAAGAGCACATTTGGGAGGGGCTTTTATCTTGGGAATAATTTGGTTTCCTGGCATAGCAAAAAGCAAAATGCCATTTCTCTTTCAACCGCTGAGGCTGAGTACATTGCTGGAGGGAGTTGTTGTGCACAAATGCTATGGATGAAGTAAATGCTTCACGATTATGGAATAGACCAGGACACTCTCACTCTTTTCTGTGATAACACAAGTGCCATTAACATTTCTAAAAATCCTGTCCAACACCCTCGCACCAAACACATTGGCATTCGTCATCATTTTATCCGAGAGTTAGTGGAAGAAAGCCTTGTTGTTCTTGAATATGTACCTACTGAGCATCAAAAAGCAGATATTTTTACAAAACCTCTTGATCTTCTTAGGTTTGAGTTCCTTAGAAAGACCTTGGGTGTAGTGCTTAATTGCTAAGGTGTTATCTGTTACTGGAGGGGTGTGAGTGATTGCTTTTATGTGTACTTGGATGCTATAATCTCATTCTCATTGATTTTTGTCATCCCTGCATTTGGAAAAATATGAACTCGTCTTATACTGCTTGCTAGATTTCATTTTTTATTGTTCATAGCTCATTCTGAATGCCTATGCTTATTGACTTCATGATCTCATTTTGTACACATTCTTGAGATAAACTGTTGCAGGGGTTTCCACACAAGTGATCAAAGTTCTCTATGGACCACTAACAGTGTATCTTTTACATTATTGGAGGAATTGACCTGCACTGGTGTATCATAGATGATGTTGAGTCTCTTAATCATCTACCATCGTTTTTCACTTTCACGGTTCCTCCATCAGTTCATTGAAGTCTGGGCATTTGGAAAAGGCTACCTCAGAGGCACCAACCAGGCCATCCTTTCTGATTTCATGGTTCTCTAGTTTGGTCTCCATACTTTTGAGCATGCAAGCCACCAGTGAGTGCCCACAGAAAAGAAAAGTCTCATAAAAAAATAAAGGACTCATTGATTGAGGGGGAGCCTCTGCGCTTACTCAACAAATACCCCTTACTCTAGCTCTGTGGCCTCTTAAGGATTGCACACACACACATTCTTTTTGTGAGCTCTCATGTTTGTTTTTGAGTTGTGCATTTTCATGTAGCTTATGATCGTTGATTAAATTTTATCTGATTCGCTCATGTTCTTGTGGTTCATAATTTCAAAATTTGCAAGTCTGCAGGCTTTATGGTTTGTGGATTATCTCATCTCAGTGTCACAGTGTTGCGATTATACTCACCTCTGTTTTGTTACAGGTCACACTTCTCTGGCGGAGTTGGTTTTGTTTGCTCAGAAAAGATGTTTTGGGTTTTGAAGTTCTTTTGTCCCTGCTGGAGCGAGAACTCTCATGCTCGAGCGTGGATTTCATCTTTCCGGTATTTTTT